GGTTCTGGCTCAGCCCAGCCTCCTCTCAGGTATATTTTTGTGTTTTTTCCCCCCCAGGTGACTGCGTTTACCTGATGCGGGACAGCCGCCGCACCCCGGACGGACACCCGGTGCGACAGTCGTACCGCCTGCTGTCCCACATCAACCGCGACAAACTCGACATCTTCCGCATCGAGAAACTCTGGAAAAACGACAAGTGAGTTCAGGAGCGTCCCCCGGGCCAGGACAGGGRTTTTATGGTTTAAATTCACGGTTCAGGTGCAGAGTTTGGGGTTTGTGTGCCATGAGGGAATGGTGTGGGGTTGGAGGTGTGAGGGAAGGATCAGAGGTGGAAATGGATGGGTTTCCTGAGTGTTGGAGCGGTGTGTGGGCACACGGGGACAGCTGGGTTTGTGTCCCCTCAGAGGGCTCTGGGTGAGCTGTCCCATGCTCTGATCTGTGATTTGTCCCCTCAGAGGGCTATCCCATGCCCTGATCCGTGTTTTGTCCCCTTAGAGGGCTGTGCCATGCTCTAATCTGTGTTTTGTCCCATTTGTCCCCTCAGTGAGCTGTCCCATGCTCTGATCCGTGTTTTGTCCCCTCAGTGAGCTGTGCCATGCTTTGATCCATGTTCTGTCCCCTTTGTCCCCTCAGAGGGCACTGAGCGAGCTGTGCCATGCTCTGAGCTGGGTCTATGTCCCCTCAGTGGGCTGTCCTATACTCTGATCTGTTTTGTCCCCTCTGTGACCTGTACCGTGTTCTGATCCATGTTTTGTCCCCTCAGAGGGCTGTCCCATTCTCTGATCTCTGTTTTTGTCCCCTCAGAGGGTTTTGGGTGAGCTGTCCCATGCTCTGATCCGTCTTTTGTCCCTTTTGTCCCCTCAGAGGGCACTGAGTGAGCTGTCCCATGCTCTGATCGCTGTTTTTTCCCCTCACAGGGCTGTGCCATGTTCTAATCTCAGTTTTGTCCCCTTCAGAGGGCTGTTCCCTGCGCTAATCTCAGTTTTATCCCCTCAGAGGGCTATCCCCTGCTCAAATCTCAGTTTTGTCCCCTCAGTGATCTGTCCCCTGCTCTAATCTCAGTTTTGTCCCCTCAGAGGGCTGTGCCATGCTCTGATATCTGTGTTTTGTCCCCTCACAGGGCTGTCCCATGCTCTGTTCTCAGTTTTGTCCTCTTTGTCCCCTCAGAGGGCTCTGGGTGAGCTGTCCCATGCTCTAATCTCAGTTTTGTCCCCTCACAGGGCTGTCCCCTGCTCTAATCTCAGTTTTGTCCCCTCAGTGATCAGTCCCATGCTCTGATCTCAGTTTTGTCCCCTCAGAGGGCTGTCCCATGCTCTGATATCTGTGTTTTGTCCCCTCACAGGCCTGTCCCCTACTCTAATCCCAGTTTTGTCCCCTTTTTCCCCTCAGGGAGGAGCGCTTTGCCTTTGGCCACCATTATTTCCGTCCTCACGAAACGCATCACTCGCCTTCTCGCAAATTCTACCACAACGAGCTCTTCCGGGTGCCGCTGTACGAAATCATCCCCTTGGAGGCYGTGGTGGGGACGTGCTGCGTGCTCGACCTCTACACCTACTGCAAAGGTGACAATTTTACACTTTTTTAATATTTTKGKCARSGCCTGGGGCRGTTTGAGCCCCGCTGACCAGGCYGCTYGCYCCYRGAGGGAAATGGGAAAAARATAAAGGCCAGGGGTTGGGATAAAAATGCTGGGTTTTATAAAAAAAAAACACCACAGTTTTGTGCTGGAATAAATTAAAATGTTGTAATTGTAATGATAATAATGATAAGGGAGATGACAGAGAGAGAAATGTCCAATATCTGAAGGGG